TAACCCTACTGAGTGTGCCTGTGCTACTACGCCACTTATAAGAGCGTCAGCTGAAACTGCTATTTACAGTAGTTTTGTGGCTCGATTCAGCAAAGTTCAGTACTTATGGATAACCCAAAAAATCCTGAATTAAGTAATTTTAAACAATTAGTGGTTTGTTATGTACAAAAGCAAAGAACAGACATATTAAATTATTATCTTGAAATACTTTGTCAGTATTTATTTCAAAATGGAGGGTAAAAAATAAATTTTTTACAAAAAGTTAAAATGTTGGATAGTTATTTCCAATTATTATTATGGTGTTATGTGTCCAGTCAGCTTTCTTATTGACGTGAACACCCAGGTATTTGAAACTCTCCACAGTTTCTATGTCCTACCCCTGAATGTTCACACGGGGTCGTCTCCTGAAGTCGATCACCATCGCCTTGGTCTAACTGGTGTTTAAACACAGGTGTTTTTTCTCACAACAGTCCACAAAGTCCATGAGTACTGACCGGTACTCCAGCTCATTCCCCTCAGACACACAGCCCACAAGGTGAAGGTGTAGGGTGAAGAGAAATGGAGACAGGACGGTGGCCTGGAGGCCCCAGTGCTGCAGACTGCCACTGACAGCCCTGTGGCTGCAAGGCTGTCAGTCAGAGAAAATCCTGACTTTTATTTTCTTATAGAAGTCAGGAGAAAAAGATTTCTCTTCCAGGGTCAAGTCATCCACGCCTCTGAAAATTAACCATCTCACTCTTAACTAAATATAAAGTTTGAGGTCTGATTAAAAATGATAATAAAATTTAAATAAATAAATAAATACCAATTTTAATATCATAATACAGTACTTATTATTTATTAACCTGCTGATATAGCCAACAAACCGCATAGTTAGTCCAATGAAAAGCTCTTTTGAGGTGAAAACAGCGGTGGCTTTCAGAAGACATAAGTCTCCTTCCCTTGTAATGTCCTACTTGAGCTGCGATTGGACTCCTCTTTCGGACCTATTGTCCACTCATCCAACATTTTAAAACATCCATAAGTCACTGACTGGTTAAAACGTAAAGATTTGCCATTATACTAACAAAGTATTTCAAGATAATATTTTTAATATGTCTGTTCTTTGCTTTTGTACATAACAAACCACTAATTGTTTAAAATTACTTAATTCAGGATTTTTTGGGTTATCCATAAGTACTGAACTTTGCTGAATCGAGCCACAAAACTACTGTAAATAGCAGTTTCAGCTGACACTCTTATAAGTGGCGTAGTAGCACAGGCACACTCAGTAGGGTTAAACAAGCGCACCCTTTCCGAGGCTGTCGTTCTATTGGCTGGAAAGGTTGCTAGGCGACGATCCAGCTGCAATCCGTGAGAGAGCAGAAATAATCCGCAAGCAGAGCCTACGGGTTTGCGAGCGTATTTGAGACCCGAGCAGAGCGCGGTTTGTGCGCGAAGAGAAGGAGGCAAGCGAGAGGAGAAAATATCTGTGCAAGAAGCATTAAATCTGAGAGAAGAAACAAAGATTTGAGAGAGAAAATATTTGAGAGAAAGCACATGTTTTGAGTGTGAGCATTATAAGTTTTGAGTGCAAGAAGATGAAATTCTTTTCTCAAATTGAAATTATGTGCTCTTGCATTATGGCAGGATAATTCTTCCATAGATTTCTGTCTTAAAAAATCAGTAGTCTAGAAGATCAGGGAGTAAAAAATTGTGCACTTTTGTGCTGAGGGTTCCTAGTTCTAAGGTTATTAATATATACCCTAGATTCAGATACTGTAGATGTTATACTCAGTGTCAACTGATAGATGTCTTTTACAAGAGTGAGAGACACATCCAGGTTACACAGTTGATACCACGAACCACCCGCCTGACGTCCTTGAATGCAGCCTGAGCCTGCGCTATTTTGGCTGTGTGACCAGGGAAGATTGAAATGTTGAAGTATCTGACTTGAATCTGTTGGAGTTCTCTGGCACGGTGCAAAATATCAGTGCAGTCACTGTAATAATGAAATCTACACACATTGGCACGTGGACGATCACAAGGCTTGGGTTTAAGTTGGAGGGTCCGGTTGGACTGGTCCAAAAGCGGCTTCTTTACCAGAGGAAATGCTTCCTAAGTATGATGGCTACAGCCATGGTGGTGCAGGTGTCACTATCCTAATGTTGTTATGACGTGATCTGGTGATCTTTCAGACTGTTAACGTGAACGTGGTTGCATTTCTAGAAGCTTTATTGTTCTCCAGTTTTGTTCTCACTGCTTGTTGGTCGAGCTTGATAGTAGACAAAGCATGTAATGGTTCAGAATGTTGGACCTATAATTCTTGCAAGACTGACATTGGAATACTTAAAAAGTGTTTATTCAAACAAAGACTGAATGAATCTGCAGTGGCGGTGTCAACAGCGGCTAGGGAGTCTGAGGCAGAAACACAGGTTAGTGACTATTATAATCTGATGGAGGATGATTATGATCATATCCCCGAGAGTATCCTGGAGTTCCTTTATAAAAATGACCTTTCTCAGAGAGTTCAGCAACTCGAGTTTGAGGGCTGCAATATTAAGGTTAGAATGCGTCGAGGCAACATCTGTGGGATCCGTTGACTCACTCGAGGACATGGTCACTGTTTGGGGACTCGGCCGCAGTTGTGTCTAAATAGTATTGCGAGATTTAGAGTTTTGACCGCATTCCACAGTTAACCTGCTCAGCAAAAAGTACTATGGGGCAAGAGAAGCCTAAATATGGGAGGAAAAAGCCCAGATGAATAACGCTTTTTATGAAAATCAGCAGGAGCCTCCACCCTCAAGTCCTACTCCATCAAAGTTCAGCAGCGCCCCCTGGCAACTCTTTTTCTATCCTATAAAAAGTACTTACCCTTGACTTAATAAAATGTGCTTTGTGGTGCACAGTAGTTTGGATTTAGAAAACTGTTCACACAAAGTGACTGATTACCAAAAAGCTTGCCTGTCTTACAAAATGTGCACACTTCACCTGCAAAGCGATTTAATAAACCGAGAAGTGATTGCAGGTGCACTTGGTCATACACAATGGAGAGAAAGTCAATGTGAATTTCAATAGTAGAATAATGTTTGTGTAGAAAAAGATGTCCATAAGAAGCAGAGTTATGTTGTATGAAATTACTATGGGCTTAACTTTGGGCTTCTGTATTTTGGTCAAGCAAGTGTTGGGTACATTACTTTTTTCTTGCACTTTGAGATGCTTATGTGAAGTGCACTATAAATATTCATGCTTATTATCATTATTATTTTTCAAAACATCTATTATCATTATTACTTACAACTCCATGGCTTAGAACTTCACCTTTGTTTTACAGAAATTGTCAATTTGACAGTATGAAATAAACTTTTCTCATGTTTAAATATGAAGGACCTAGAGTGTTACTGGAAAAGAATACCAACCATTTTAAATTTAACATCTAAATAATGCTTTTTGAGGTAAAATTTAAAAAGCATTTTCTATTTGCACATTTTAAATTGAATTTTTAAAGAGAAATTGTAAATTTTTCTTTATTAAAAATTATTAAATACTGGAATTTAAAAATGTATTTTCAAATCCTATTTCTAAATGTAGATTTAAAACACCAGAATTGATAAATCTGAGTATAGATACCTTTCCTAATCACACATTTAGAAAGGTTATAATTTAATTAATTTTCATTTTCTTTTCTCAACTTCCATTTTTAAATCCTTTTTAAAACTGCATTTTGCTTTTGCTTTACCCACTCCATTTACCTTTTCTGTGAGCCTTCTGGTCCCTAACTGTGAGCTTACTGAAACTAGTTAACCAACCACAGTTGGTCCTCAGATGTAACCTGCTCCCTCTGTGGTCATTGTGTTAACTAAGTGTGGCAGTCGAACTAATGAGAGAGTTTTACGTAGATGTGTTCCTGTGTGCTCTGGGACCAGATGGGTAACAAAGAATGTAAAGTACAAAGTTCAAACTCTGCACATAATATTATATTTGACACAACAAATGTCCTTCTCAGGAAGACTATTCTACGAGGTGTTCTGTGCACTTTTCTTGAGCTATTCTGAAGGCCATAGGAAGTTTGGAGACTATAGCTAATACCACAAAATACCCACGGAGGAGCTCAGGAACAGGAACACAAGGTTTGTCCACTTGGACACCCTTGTCTGAGACCTGAAGGCAGCAAGTAGAAGGCTCAGGACCTCTGACATAATGTCAGATTTAGCTGCTTAATTGGTGAAATGAGTTTTGTCACTGAGTGTCCCAAGATGGAGCCATCAGGCAGACTTAGTCAGGGGTGTGAATATTCTCCAAGAACCAAGAAATGCATTATTTTGCACACTGTGGCAAGAGTTGTATATTGCAAGAGTATTTCATACTTTTTAAGACACTCCTGGGACAGAGTGGCAGTGACTTTTAATGGCAAATATTTGTCAGCTTTCCCCACATAAACTTCATCCGCTATCTAAGTATTGTCAAGAAAAAGATGTCTGAATTCAGAAATCAGAAAAAAAAGACAAATTTTTCTCTCTGCAGACAAGCCCTTTAAACCTTTCCTATTTCCGTTATTCAGTGAGACCCAACAGCAGTGACTTCCCTGCTTCCGTTATGATTTGAGCTCTTTAAATGTTTATATTCTGTTTCATTACCTCTGCCATTGAGGTTGTTTACACCAGAGATAGTTTGTCTGTTTTTCTATCTGTTTGTTTTTTAAAATAACTCAAAAAAGATATGGACAGATTTTCAGATAAATTTAAATTTTCAGAGAAATCCCATATTGTGACTGCCAACAAAAGATTACATTTTGCTGGTGATCCCAAATACCATCTGGATCCAGGAATTTATTTAAAAGATTCTGTAAATACAGGAAATAAGCTACTTAAGTAAGGCCCATACCCTACCAGAGCTGTTTTAGGGTCCTCAATAACCAGAACCTTCGAAACAAACAGCTTATTTAGTTAAGAACAATAAGAAAGGGACCCTTAGAAAAGGTAGATTCCTATAACACTTAACAGGAAAATTCTTTGTCTTACCTCAACTTGTGCACTTCCTTCCCAAAGTAAGGAGAATACAGCAGTGTAGGAACCATTATGATGATCAAGCACTTTCCCCACCACACCTGCATGAACAGTGGGGTTGTGCAGTCGAGCAAAAAGGACGTCTCCACCAGACTTCTTGTGGTGACCATTGAAGTCATTCTATTCTATCAAAACCTCCATTTGATCCCCTACTTGCCAACTTCCCCCTCCATTACGAGGGAGAATTGTGAAAGTGCTGTGTGCTGCATTGCTGGTGTCATTCAGAGAAAAGTAAGATGGCAGGGATGGTGTTTCAGGCCAGGCAATGTAGTCCTTTAAAAATTCTGACTCAAGAGCATCTGCAGGTGACACAGAATGGAAGGAGCAAACAGCTGTATGGTTTTGAGGCTCAGTGGGATGTTTCAGTGTTTTGGTGGCTGGGACTTTCTCCTTTAACCAGAAAGAAAAAAAAATTGATATAGAGACAGTAATAAGATACCACACAAGGCAAAGATTGAATAAAAATACAAATTATTTAGTTAGATGATTCTGGTTTTTCAATTAATGAAAATTCAATATTCAGCTTCTCCAAAAATAAAAAATAAATCAAACAAACAAAAAACAAAAATTGAATGACTGTCCAAATAAGGAATAAAATGTATTGTATCAAACCTGGCATAGTATTATGTATTTCCCTACACTCAGCAGTACTTGCACTCGGTTTAGCATTCCTCACCTCTGATGAAGGCAACATGGCGCCAGTATGTGTTTGGTAATGACAGTGGACAAAAAACTTTGCCTGTGCATTTTTGTGTCTGTCTGTCTGGCAAGTCAATTTAATGTTATATGTATTTTTATATATCAACGTACATATCTATATATATATCTTTGCATATCTATACATAAATATTATATATATATATATATATATATATATATATATATATATATATATATATATATATATATATGCCAGCAAAGTACTGTCCATAACTTCAAAACGAAAAAGCATTATGAGCGACGTTAGGAGCCGCTCTTCCTCAGGTCCTTGCTGACTGGGCTACCCATCTTGTTCGGTAGGGGCCGCTGTGCACGTCTGCATTGCATTACATTGTAAGTGTAGCGACGGGAAACTGGTTGAATTGGATTCTACCTGCTCAGCTAGATCTAAAAGTCTTTGTACAATTTGAGGGATTGCCATGACCTGTGATGCTAAAGACCCGGCAATTCAACTTTGCTGGCAGACCACGAAAACGAAAAAGCAATGTCCGCTGTGTTTTCTGTTTGATTATGGCATAAAATGTACATTCTTAAAGAAGAAAATGCAAATGCAAATAGGATGATTGATCACAAATTTCATTTATGAATCAAATAATGCAGCCACATTCTTAAAATGAAAAAGCATTTCTGGAAATGCTTTTTCATTTTCAAATTTTACATTTCAAATAGAATTTTGGTATGTATTTGCTGGGGTACATTTTGAAAAATAAATCTCAAATGTCTTTTTCATTTTAATTAAGTAAAAGAAGTAAAAGAAGAAAATGAAAATGCAAACAGGATTATTGATTACTAATTTCATTTATGAGTCAAAAAATGCAGCCACATTCCTAAAATGAAAAAAGCATTTCTAATAATTCTTTTTCATTTGAAATGTGCTAATGATTTGCTTTCATAATAGGTAACTAAGAGGTAGTTAACCGGTATTTACTGGGGAACACCAAATCCAACCTTATCATGGGACTACTGCTTATTTACTTGGGAAACACAGCGTAACTAATCAGGATTTAATGGTTACACTTAATTTAAGGGTACACAAAAAACATTGATAATCATCAGGTAGTGATTGAGCAATAATTAGTTTCTCAGTAAACACTTTTTATAATGTTTCACTTTACTTTAGGGTACACAAAAACATTAGATAATGGTCAGGTAATGATTAGGTCATTAGCAAATCCATAGTAATTATTTGATATGATGCTTGATTCAACAAAGTCCAAAAAATAATTAATACACAAAAATTTGATACTCAGTAAAGTGGTTTTTCATAAGCTGTGACTTAGCGTTTATGAAAAACTAACACAGAGAATTTCTATTCAAAATTTGAGGTAACAAACCAGTTGTCCCCTCATGGGTCTTGGTTGAGTACCCTTTTGGCTGCATCCAAATATCCACCCTAACCCCTCAATCACTATATGGAGGGGAAGACTATATAGTGGACTTTATATTGAACTCAGTAAACTGATAATTCAGACATATCACAACTACTTTGGTCATGTGACCTTTGCTCCCCATACAGTGCCTGCACCATTTCTGTTCTCTCTCCCCCAAAACAATTCACAAGATTCTCTGTGAGGAGAGCTCTTGCAAAGCTTTCTGGGATATATCTTCTCATCTAGTGACCATTGATAGACACAACTTTTTAAGTTGCATTGTGGTAAATCTTGAGTCCCCTACTTTTTAATCCACTAGACATTTAGACACTCATATAAAGTGGCACAACTAATATATACTGGTGTAAATAGGGGTTAGGGTGCACATTCCAAAACACCCTAGGTTTATTATTAGTTCGTCTTTGGACTCATTGGTAACTAATCATTACTTCCTGATTTTTTTTGTTTTTGTTTCCTTATCAATTCTCTAGGCGTTCTCTAACAGTTAATCAAATAAGGAACAAACAGGTACGTACATACCTATACGGTCCCTAGTGGGTCACACCCAAAGAGTAACGAAGCAGGACATAAAGTGTAGTTAACAAGGAAGCAATTACAAAAAAATCCTGATTTGAATATATTGATGGTGTTCTGCAACACCTATCATTACTAACAACAACTATGTCACTCAAGGTTCTGGAAATGTGATTGTGGAAAAGTGCAATATGCTGAGACAGCATTTTTGGTGCCATTTTTTTAGGTCTTTTCTGTTTTCTTGTAAAGTTATGAGTAATATTATGTAATGCATATATTTTTTTATTTTTCATTGTATTGTGTTTTCTGATTGATCATGACCAGTGTGACCAATAGGTCGGCCACCATACTACAGTGCCCAAGATGCATTCCATTTCCGTTGTCATTTTAAAACATGAAGCGACTCTGTCATGTAAAAATGTTTCATTACGGCAAATTAATTGAAAATCTAGCAGTTTATTTTTCATTTATAAGTTGCTCTGGAGTATAGGATTTATCCCTGGCGATAACATGTAAAAAAGTATTACTTTAACTCTGAAAAATATGGGATTTTTGACAGCCTTTGATGCTGTAGTAGTTGGAGTTAATGTTTTAAAGATGAATAATACTCACCTCTGCTAATGTGCAGGTTATGTGATCAGTAAAGTTAGTACTGTAAACAATTACCCATAAAACAAGTAAAGTCAAGAAAAGGAAAATAAAAATATTCTTCTGAAGAAGACATTTTCTTGAAGTTTGGCCTTCCATTATCAATGATGACTGGATCCAATCCTGTGTTAAAATGCAAAGACAAAAAAAACACAATTTATCTGAGTCTTCCATGACTTAAATCCAGTAATTCTTTGTCCAAAGACAAAACTTTAATTGATGTGCTTGCAAAAAAATTGCTATTCATGAGCAACTGGCAAGATTTTATAGGAATTTACAGTAACCATCATGGAGACATGCTTGAACACAACAGACACAAGAACATGTGATTTTTAGCATTGTCTCATTTTTAAGTTAATGCTGGTTACAAGGCCAGTTGCTCTATTAACTCTGATATATACCTCTTGTAGTTAGGATTGTAAAATGCTAGTATAAACAATTCAGCTCATTAAGTGTTGAAGCATTTTAAAGAAGGGTTGCTGCACTTTGCACCAAGCCAATTACCGACAACAGATTTATTACTTGACTTTATTGCGTAACTATTTAAACTGTGAGGATATAGAGAAATTGGCAGATGCGGATGTCAAACAGGTAAAACTCTATTTTGTTATATGAAGTTTCCCGGTTGGCTGCTCAGTGGAGCAGTGGGTAGCACTAATGCCTTACAGTAAGAAGCTTCTGGATTCAAATTATTTCTTCTTATGGGTTCTTTCTGTATGGAGTTTGCATGTTCTCCCTGAGCATGTGTGGGTTCTCTCCGTGTACTTTGGTTTCCTCCCACAGTCCAAAAACATGACCTGTTAGGTTAATTGGCTTCTCTAAATTCTCTTTAGATGTGCGTGTGTGAGTGAATGGTTTTTTGCCCAGTGTGTCCAGGGTGTACCTCGCCTCTCACCCATAGCTAGCTGGAGATAGGCACCAGCAGCCACACTTGGGATACGCTTGAAGGAAAACGGATGGATGGAAGGTTTCCTAGCTGTTTAAGATCAATATTATGTTTTGATCTGAAACAGCTAGGATTATTATGTGATTGCTTTTATGTGGATTGTTGGACAAGAGTGTTGTATATTTTACTATAACAGCATTGTTTTAGACTTCTTAACTTCTTAACACCATTTGATTTTTATTTTCCATCACTGTATTTCCTTGTATTCTGTACCTTCTCTATCAAAACTGAACAATCCACACCTACTCTTAGTTGTGGCAATGAGTCATCCATAGCTTCCATTCCTCTTTCTATTAAAGAAGAAAGATGCAAATGTACCAAAGCAGAACGAATGGCAAAGTTACCTGACTGATCCAACCAGTCATTTATGGATTCTGAGTGCCTGCAACTGCCAACAATTTTTCTCATGTTATTCTGTGCAATAAGTTTCTACTTGAAATGTCTACAAAATTATAGTTAGTCTTTTACATTATTCCCACATATTTCCCACAAAAAACAAGGTTGCTACAGCCAATGAGTCCCTGGGGTGCATCCTTTAACCACTTGAATTTTCTTTTCTATTATCATTGATCATTTCCAATTCCTATAGACCAGCCTTACCCGAGAACAGAGATAGTGATCATGCATACTGAAAACAATATTCCACACAAATTTGTGTGGAATCTGTATGCATTGATTCTGTGAAATGATAGCCTATTCTTTTTTTATGCTCATAGTCTTTGCCAACAATTCTGGTCCTCATGTAACCAATACAAATATTTCATGCAGTCTCATCATCTCCTGTGATGAAATGTGTTCTTATGACCTGCTTAAATAAAACATGTTCACATGACATTGTTTAATTATTTTGTATTATTCAGAGGTTATAACTGATCACAGCTCATAATAATCAGCTTATCAGAAAGGGGAAATAACACCTGTCAAATAGCATAAAATCTGTTAGTAAAGCAAGATTAATTTAAAAAATGTAATTAGAAGATATGTATAGATGCAATACGTAAAAACATTGCATAATAAGCTGTAAGATTTGTCTTATAGTACTTTGAGCTCCATTTATGATATAAACAAAAGCTATGAAACTAAAATAAATTTGTCCACCTACATTGAAACGGCATTGAATTTAGCAATGAAAAGTTAGTTTATTACAATAAATAGTAATAAATTTCTTTAAACCTTCTAAACATTAAAGCCAGGACAGTTTTTAACACAATTTAGTAAAAAAAACAACAACTTAACAATCTTAAGATGACAGGTGTTCTAAACTGTCACGTCAAATATTAAAAAGCATTAGTTTTGGATTACTGGCTTTGTGTATTTAGCATGTAAATAAAAGTAAGTATGAAATAACTTTTTTGATGTCTTTTTGTTTACCTTTGTGTTTGTAGTCATTGACGTTCTCACTTTAAGTCCAGATTTGTGTGCAGACTAATATGTGTCTGTTTCTCTCTACCCCTGTCTCCTGACAGGATGTGGTGAACAGATGCTGTTCAAACCTGCTAACACTAAGAAGGAGGAACTTACAGAGGAGTGGTCTAACTGTAGTATTCGTCAGATTGTTCTGCTCACATGAGAGGTACTGTACTCATTTTCAACTTTTCTCTGTGTCTGTCTATGTCTAATGTTTTCTCTCTCTCTCTCTCTCTCTCTCTCTCTCTCTCTCTCTCTCTATATATATATATATATATATATATATATATATATATAGCTACAAATACCTTGGGGTGCCACAGAATAACGGAAACCACGAGGAGATGGCAAGAAAGACTGCCACAGCTAAATACCTACAAAGAGTAAGGCAGGTCCTGAAAAGTCAGCTGAATGGGAAAAACAAGATCCAAGCCATCAACACATATGCCCTACCAGTCATCAGATACCCCGCTGGTATAATAAACTGGCCAAAGGAGGAGATAGAGGCTACTGACATCAAGACGAGAAAGCTCCTCACAATGCATGGAGGGTTCCACCCCAAATCCAGCACTCAGACTCTACACCAAGCGTAGCGAGGGAGGCCGAGGGCTAGTGAGTGTCAAGACCACTGTCCAGGATGAAACAACTAAGATCCAGGAGTACATCAGAAAGATGGCCCCCAAAGACAAATGGCTCGGTGAGTACCTCAGGCAGGAGAAAACCGAAAGTGAGGACAAGAAAGAGGAAGGGGAACCATCATGGAGGGACAAGCCGCTGCACGGCGTATACCACAGACAAATAGAAGAAGTGGCTGATATCAAAAAATCCTACCAGTGGCTGGAAAAGGCTGGACTGAAGGACAGCACAGAGGCACTAATCATGGCAGCACAAGAACAGGCACTCAGTACAAGATCAATAGAGGCCAGGGTCTACCACACCAGGCAGGACCCCCGATGCAGACTGTGCAAAGATGCCTCTGAAACAATACAGCACATAACAGCAGGGTGTAAAATGCAGGCAGGAAGTGCATACATGGAACGCCACAACCAGGTAGCTGTCATAGTGTACAGGAACATCTGCCATGAGTATGGGCTGGAAGTCCCAAGGTCAAAATGGAAGACACCTCCTAAGGTAGTTGAGAATGACCAAGCTAAGATCCTATGGGACTTCAAGATCCAGACTGACAAACAGGTGATGGCTAACCAACCAGACATCGTGTTGATGGACAAACAGCAGAAGAAGGCAGTAGTGATAGATGTGGCAATCCCAAGCGACAGCAACATCAAGAAGAAAGAACACGAGAAGCTTGAGAAATACCAAGGACTGAAGGAGGAGCTAGAAAAGATGTGGAAAGTGAGAGCAGCAGTGGTGCCAGTGGTAATTGGAGCACTGGGGGCTGTGACCCCCAAACTGGGAGAGTGGCTACAGCAGATTCCAGGTAAAAGAGGTCTCTGTCCAGAAGAGCGCAGTCCTAGGAACAGCTAAGATACTGCGCAGAACCCTCAAACTCCCAGGCCTCTGGTAGAGGACCCGAGCTTGAGGATGACACATACCACCCCACGAGGGGTGAGAAAACATTTTTTTGTTATATATATATATATATATATATATATATATATATATATATATATATATATGTGATGGCTAACCAACCAGACATCGTGTTGATGGACAAGCAGCAGAAGAAGGCAGTAGTGATAGATATGGCCATCCCAAGCGACAGCAACATCAAGAAGAAAGAACACGAGAAGCTTGAGAAATACCAAGGACTGAAGGAGGAGCTAGAAAAGATGTGGAAAGTGAGAGCAGCAGTGGTGCCAGTGGTAATTGGAGCACTGGGGGCTGTGACCCCCAAACTGGGAGAGTGGCTACAGCAGATTCCAGGTAAAAGAGGTCTCTGTCCAGAAGAGCGCAGTCCTAGGAACAGCTAAGATACTGCGCAGAACCCTCAAACTCCCAGGCCTCTGGTAGAGGACCCGAGCTTGAGGATGACACATACCACCCCACGAGGGGTGAGAAAACATTTTTTTGTTATATATATATATATATATATATATATATATATATATATATATATATATATATATATATATATATATATATATATATATATATATATATATATATAAAGAGAGAGAGAGAGAGAGAGAGAGAGGCCCCTGAGACAATCTAGCACATAACTGCAGGGTTATGTGCTTTCTGATGGTACTTCACTTAGTCTCTGTAACTGGCTTTGGGGTCTGGGCCCTCTATTGAAGCTGTTACCCGCGCAAAGAAGCGGAAGAAGATGGATGGATGCATGGAAACATTGACTCACTCACCAAAATCCAGATCGGCCATGCTAATTTGAAACCAGCAAGCAGCAGAAAGAAGCTCCTCCTATTTGATGACACTGAAGCAAAAGGACTGCAGTCTGTTGCCTCCCATGCAAATTGCTGCCTATATGTCTGGTGAGCGACAGCACCCAAATGGGTGACTTTGTTGCTAGAAATACGTTTTATGTAAATGTGCCATTAGAGAATACAGGTAATGCTGGTAACTTATTTTTTTTGTTTTACATACATATGCAATGGATAAAAAATTAAAAAGTAAATGTATTTATCATATGTAACTATAACTATTTATTTATCCTAAACCTGGTGTATCTTGTTCTTTTCTTCCACAGTGAATTTGTTGTCGTTTCTTATTATAATAGGATTTGAAAATATTAGCACAACATAGAAAATCAGCAGCCATAGTCTTATTAATGTGAAGGAAATAGAATAACCTT